AGCTAGGAAAACGGATCGGGGAGGGGACCGTTGGCACTTGGTCCTACCTCGCGGGCCCGCTGCTGGACTTTACAACAAAACCAAGGGGGATAGTCCCGCGGGACCCTCAACCCCTCGGTTCACTCCATAGCGCTCATCCACCGCTCCGCTGCACGCTGCTGGACTCAACCTCGGGATCCTCCTGGTGACAACTCAGTGACGTAACCTATAGGGCTAAGCCCAAGCTTGGATCCAGCAGGCCCAATTCTCTATATGAAGAGTAACTGCAGCCCGCCCAGGCCCGCAAGGGTGTGTGAAGTCCACCGTTTAGCTTATGTCCCAGCATCCGAGGCCTTGTAACGCCGTACTCCGCTGCCTCGAGGGTAAGGCTTCGCTTGGCTTGCCATGCGCGCCGCCTCACCATACTGCGGCCGCGGCCCAAGGCTCTTACGGCCTACCGCGACCGCTCTCTTACCGCCTCTTTGCCGGCAAACCCCGACTTTTGTTCTAATTCGTGCCAACCGTATTTTGTTCCAGTGGCGGCTCCTATTACCGATGACGCATGGTCCGCCTGGTGCCTGCGAAATCTCACACGGTGCGACCCCGAGACGTCGGCCCCTAACGGGTCAGACAACCTCCTCCTCTAGCCACAACCTTTCCTGGTCAACGTGACGCTGCCCGTAACTTTGCCTGTGCGTACAAGGCCGCGACCGCCCCAGAAATTCTAGCCTGATACTTACTTGTCCTACCGGCGTCTCATAGTCTTCCTTGATCAGTCGCTTAGCCTGGCTAACACGTGCCCGCAAAGTGCACGCTCGCGCACTCTCTAATCAACATAAATGAGATGCCCCCCTAAATATCGTCAGGCGCGTTCTTCCTGTAAGTTGCAAACATGTGCCCAAATACCCTTGTAAGGGTATTCGGGCCGACAGTTTTCCGGACCCTATTAAGTGACGTCCCCGTCGCGTTAGACAATCAAAACTATAAACACAACCACATCTCGCTGACAAGGAAACGACCAATCCGATTCACCGGCTCGACTCCGTTCGAGGTATTCTCATCAACCTTCTCCCGTCACGGCGTTTCTCTGCCAGGGTTTCAACCTTGGTCTCCCACGTCCTGGCCTCAGAGTTAGGGGATACTTCGTTCCGTACTACAGCGTACTACCCGCTCCCAGGTAGTAGGTTGATAGTCCTCTCCCTTCGTCGTAGACATCTGCCGCCTCACCGTTGGGTGTCCTATATAGTCATCGTCCCGCGGACGGGGTCATAACTTAGGACGCGGGCCCTAACCGAGACCTCTCAAAAACACGGGGCGCCTTTCGTCCCCAAATAGTGATGTTTACTATCTCCAATATCCAATCATACTGAACTCTCATCCTGGAGTCTAACACAGGTGGTTTTAGGTCTCCATCTTGGCCCACCGCAGAACGGTCGATCACGCCGAATCCACGGCCCATCGTGTTGTTATGTAGCGATGGTGCCCTCGTTGGTTACGCAACGATAAGCAATTCTTTCTATCTTGGTACCCCGAAGGGTCCCGACTCTTAGACTTAGTCGACCCCAATGACTTTCCCTCTAGCTAAGCCTCTCTGGGCGGCCGACCCCTCAAGACTTAACTTTGGGTGAGCCATGGTCCCGCTGCCAGGTTGTGCCGGTCAGCGGCCCTCGTTGGGAGTTAGGTTCTACAGTTCCAACGATGCTAAGTATAGCCCCTTAGCTTGGCCTCACAAAATATATCCCTTAGACTGACTTCATTATGGTATGGCATTCTCTCTAAAAAACTTTCAGTATAACCAAAGGATCACGTACCAACTGCCCACAGGACTACGTGGAGGGGTAGTGCCTTTCTTAATATTCCAACAAAATACTCAATAAACCCACAAGGTCGGGCCTTCCTTACTTTGATCAGGGCAGGTAAGGTCACACGTCTTAGGGACATTTCTCAAATGTTTCTCAAAATTCTATCTCAATTGCCAGATGTTTTCCATCCATAATTCCCACAAAGTTTTTGGTCTTTACTCGTCAGACTTACATTCACATAAAATTTTTCATCGTTATAGCATCTCATTGGAGTACTCTCTCATAATATCACTTTCATATAAGGAAAAACCCAATCGGCCATTGAGTTTCCTTCTCTCGCTTTTGAACCACACACAAAACACAACTTTAGTTGCGACCTTTCCATTTATCATCACTGATGCTCTTACAAATTATGACACAAGTCTTTCCTCTCAAACATACGCGAGGTGCACTCCCTTACCCTGTACTTATGACTTCGTGTGTTATTGTAACAGGTATGCCTAAGTATAGAGGGAGATAGTGCAGATCAGGTCATTTTACAACATTTACTTCATCACAACAATCATTCATATGAGCAAGTTCACGAACTGAGAGTGAGTGTGACACACCACACAAAAAGAAAGAAGTCTGAGACTCGCATATGCACACAGAATATGGGGCCTTGCAACAATCAAAGGCTCCTGTCCATATCGAAACGGTCAAGGTATCGTACAAAGAATCCAAGTATCACACAAAGAGTCTGGGTATCGTACCAAGTGTCACAGTATTCAACAAAGAATCAGAGTATCCGAATGAAGTGTCAAAGTAAAAGTCAAGGTAAAAAGAAACCAGGATCTCACACCGCTCTGAACGAGAAAGAATCATAAACTCACACAAAAACACTATCTAAGAACACTCCACACCACACTGAAAAATGTGAAAGTAAAAATGAGGAAATCAGTGCCACACTCAATACCATCCTATGTACAACTAAGCCTGAAAGTCAATATGCGAAAGTAAACATCTCAGTAATGACTCAACTAACTGATGTACATGGGCGTGATCCAATCCTCCATGTGTCCTCCTATATACAATCATCTATCAGTAGTGAGTCAGAGATGCTCTATACTTGTCAGAATCTAGACCTTTCCGAACCCTATGAAAGAACCCTATTCTTGATCACTCATGTCCTCCTGCAGCTGCCTATACAACTACGCCCGTATCCCATCAAGAGTCTTTAGGATTAGGTTCCCATACTTATCCCTACGTACCATAGAAGGATCCTAATAAAACAAACCATTCGCCTCATCCTTGAGGCTTTTGGGACAGGTCTCCTGTGGGTGCTTGCCCTTCTTGCAGTAGAAACATCTTCCAAACTTCTTCTGCTCCATCTTGTCAGCTCCTTGGGAGATAAGGGGACTGCTGTAGCCTCGCTCGTGACCTCCTGCTGTGGATGCTCTGGAGGAATGGGGCATGCTGCTCTGTCATCTGTCTGCGCCACCTGCTCACTCACTTGCTCCTCTGCCCCGGATCCAGTGGCCCAAGATCCCAACGCTTCCTCCATACCTGCAACCAGAGGCATATCATGAGGTGGTGGGGTTTTCTGAGAAACCTCCAGATCCTCCCCTACCTCAGCCTCAACTCTGGCCTGTCCCACACTCTCATGAGCCTCTTGCTGCCCTACAGTTTCTCTATAAATCGTAGGTTGTGCAGCCTAATCCATGTTGGCCTTTGTTGGTGGCCTCACCCCGGGCCTCACTAATCCCTGCTCGTGTGCCAAGACGGTGGGCATCCTCCACTCAAACTCTCCTGCCTCTAAGTCCCTTCCTGCTAGTGTCTCTTGTGGCTCCAACATCTTTTTATCCAGCAGGGGGATTTCCTCACCCCTTTGCTCGTTTGCCCTCTTTTCCACCTTCTGACTCTTAAAGGCCTCCTCTGCAGGCTGCTTCCTGATCTCAAACCCCTGGACCTCTGTCCAGTCCACCACTGCAGTAGGCGCCTGTTGTGCACACTTCGCCTCAAGGTCCAGGATTCTCTTTTCCCACTTCGCCTCCTTTACTTGAAAGGTATTCTGCTGTACCTGCAAATAGGTCCTCAGATTGTCATTGACCTTGTTAAGGGTCTGGTTGACCTGTCTGATGGCCTCATTCCCTGACCAAACCTTCTCCATCTCAATCTTCATGGCCTCCACTTCCTTGTTTGACTCTCCAACTCCTTCTTGAGATCATCAATTTCTTTCTGCCAGTCCATTCTCTGCTCATGAGACGCCCGCGCCATCCTTGTCAACCTCTTCTCCATCTTTTCATCAGAAGTCTTGGCCGCCACAAAGCCCTCCTTCATAAGGCCCTCCAGGCTAAGCAAGTCTGTAGAGGCCAGCTTAACCCCCATCTCCTGATGCTGCTCCCTGGGCCTCCCTTCTGCCTCCAACAACTTATCAAAGTTGTCCCAAGCCTCCGTGAAAAGAGGAGTCTCATCGTCTTGAGTGGGTGAGTCATTCCCCTTTCTGTCTTCTAGTATCACAGACTGCTCTCCCTGCTCAACCTTCTCGTGCAGCTCCGCAATGTTCTTGAGTCTGATTTGGACTCTGATCTCTCTCTCTATTGCTGCTCTCTCCTTTCTGTCTTGTTCCTTCTCCCTTGCAGCCTGTTCCTCACTCTGCTCCTGTCCATGTGGCTCTTGAGGTAGTTCTGACCCTTTGTTTGTCATAGGGCAGTCCTGAGCAGGCTGAGGGGGCGCATCTGATCCACCTGATGGTCCTCCCCTCTGGGTCCTTTCTGCGGCCTGCCTCTCTCTCTGCTAAGTCCTGCCAGCATGTTGTCCCTCTCGTCTCTCATCCCTGTGGGACCTGTGCTCTCTCCTCTGTTCATCCCTCTGAGTGTTTGAGGTCATGCCCTGCTCAAAAGTCCTCCTCTTTGTGACCTCTGGCTCCTTCCTCTTCTTCTCCATACTCCTCTCCTCTGCTAGACGTGCCAAAGTATAGTAGTTCCAAAGTAATTTCTTGCAATGGCCCAAACTTATGGCAGACTCTACAATGGATCTGACGAAGGACCTAAGGTGTCGCCTCACAAACAAGAGAAAGTCTCCCATTCTCTGGCTTGGTGATTCATTGAGGCCATCTGCAAACTCGTCGAATGCCCTCAAGAAATCCCCAAGGTTTGTGCCATCGAAGCGTATGGGCTGCCCATCCCTCCCCAATGGTGATGGGTGCAGGCCCTCCACCCTCCTCTCGAAGTCTTGCCAGATCAGTGATTCCCTGACATAGTTGGTAATGGGTTTTGACCACAAGCCCGCACCTCGCACCTCTCTCAGCATCCTGAGCGTATCCCATCCAAACTCTCTGGCGTGCTTCTCAAACTCGATCAGGAATAACTCAGTGTTCTCTCCCTGAAAAATGGGTGGTCTGTCCTCTCACCTGGCCCTCATCTGCGCCGTCTGTCTGGTCGCCCCCAGAGGGGTTCCCACTGGCCCTGCCCTTCCCCTCCCTCTTGGCATGGCTGCCCCAAAATGGTGTCAAGCCTGCACAACAAGGAAGAGAAAAACAAGAGCACACAGAGGGTAAGCAAGTTAGGCAAACACATCAGGAGACAGACATAATCCTCCCATTCTATAATATTTATGTATAATATCTATCTATGTGTATATATATATATATATACATAAATTTACCTAAATATGGTACCCTATCATACCATTCCACTGATACTAACATCCTACTAACTACCCTAAATGCACTAAAAGGAAGCAACACTATCTTGTGAGATTCATGCTATCCTCATCCCGGGCGACAAACTTCTTTAACCTCGAGCCTGACACCCAATCCTTTCATGCCGTTCCATTCATTTTTTCAATCTGGTACGCTCCGTGCTCGCCACACCTTGTGATCCTGTACGACCCTAACCACCGCTTGTCCAATTTCCTCGACCATTGCTTCTCCAGGGACGAGTCGTACAGCAGCACGGCGTCTCCCACCTTAAGAGGTTCCTTCCTTACTCGTGCCAACTGGTCCCACCTGAATGTGTCCTTGGTTCGACTGTCAGCCACCCTACTTGCCGCTTCCTGTACCTTATCCTCTATGGCTTCAATTTAACGTGCCCTTAGATCAAGCAAGTCCTCAAAAGACAAGGTTGTCTCGAGGTCTTGTCGCCTCCAAATCTTTAGGAAACTTTCTATAGGGAACGTCGCATGTCTGCCATACTATAACGTAGCTGGCGCGTAGTTGGTACTCCTTCTGACAGTGATATCTTCCACGAAGAAAGCAACCCTCAGGAAAGTTGGCCACTGATAAGGCCTGCCATCGGTCCATTTTGCGAGAAGATTTGTAATGGTACTGTGCCCTCTTTCCACTGGTGCGTTAGCCTGAGGGTGCGCCGCAGTCGTATACTCGGCGATCACACCATACCCTTTCAGCAACGCTTTCACTTCGGCACAGGTGAATTCGAATCCTCTGTCCATTACGAACCTTGAGACGAAAGAATAGCGAAGGTAGTATTCTTCAATGCATCTAGCTAGTACCGAATAGCCTTGCCATCAACAAACCCTGAGAGATTGTCTCGTGCATCAAAAATATAGTTGAACCCTCCTATTCCCAGAGACATCGCTAATAGATCCAGATGAATGACTGCTCCGACCTCACGTATATATCTAGGGTGAAGCGGTTCCCTAGGTCTTAGCGAAGACCGCTCCTGGCATGTTATGCATGATTTACAATATTTGTCGATCATGTGTCCCATGCCATCCCAATAATATAGTTCGTGAATCTTTAAGTATGTTGCACATGTGCTCCTATGGCCACTAGCCGTTCCATCATGAAGGGCGGCCATAACGTCAATCTGTCGATTTAGTCCACAGACTACCCTTTTGGGATTCTTTCCTTTACTTCTCATGAATAGATGGTCGTCTCTCACTAGAAAATTTGGCCGCATCCTAAGGACCCTTTCGCTAGCATCTCTTTCTCTTATCTCACACGAAAGGAGCATTCCCAATTCCAGATATACTCCGTCGTACTCCTCTGCACGAAAGACCTCTTTTATCTCACCTTCTTCAAAGTCATCGTCCTCTCCTTCATGGATCACGTTCTCCTCTCTATCTTGCCTCTCTCCTTCAATCCTAGCAACCTCTTCTTGAAGTAACGAGTTTGTCAACAAGTACATTCCACCTACCAATCGTTCATCTTTTCTACCTGTTGGGGTCCGGTCTCCAATGTGACCAAGTCTTTCCGCAGCTGGTACTTATCTGCCAAGGCCAACTCTATCATCCACTCCACTCCTGGCATTCCCCAAGAATCTTCCTCAACATAAGGTTTGAGGACTATATATAGCCGCCGCACATGACTTGGAGGTGCGAGTCATATAAGTTGTCCAGGAGTAACATAGTTACCTATAGCCAATGACCAGGAGTTAATGTGAAGTTTAACGTCCTCTTCCTTGTCTAGGAAACCATCGACCGACGGAGTATCCTCAATCACCCCTTTGTTGCTCTTGTCCCAGTCGATGCGACTTAACTCATCTGCCCTATTCTTGTTCCCAGGAATACGCTCCAATTTAAAGTCAAACATCCAGATGTACATCAACCACTTGGCAATGGTTGGATCTGAAGGAGCGAAGTTCTTAAGGGAACCCGCTAAAGCAGTTGGGTCCACCCTCAACACAAACCTGCTACCAAAGAGGTAGTTTTTAAAAATCCTCAAGTAGTGAAGAACTGTCAAGGTCTCGCGCTTAAACTGAGAGTAATTCCTCTCGGTTGTGTTAAGCGTTCAACTCTCAAACCTTAGCGGTCGTTCTTCTCCATTGAGGTCTCGTTGGATCAGTACTCCTCCCAGGGCAGTCGGTCCTGCGTTTGTTTCCACGATAAAGGGTCTGGTCATCACAGCCGCATGGTCTGGTACCCCAGTACTAGACCCCCTTCCTCAAACTCTTTCTTCAGACCCTCTATCACTGATTCCTGCTTGTCTCCCCATTCCCAATCCTGACCTTGGCGCACAAGCTTTCGCAATTGCTCTGTCTTTGCCGCAAACCCTTTGATAAACACTCTAAAAAACCCACATGTTCCCAAGAAGCTCCTTACCTCCGTTATTGTCTCGAATGGTGTTGGCCACTCGAGAATCTTGTTCGTCTTCTTAGTGTTTGGCCGACGACCCCTCTCGTCGCACGCAAACCCTAAGATCGTTGCTCCACGCATACAATGCCTGGACTTTGTCCCACTCTCAGTGAGGTTATGCTCCTTTAGCAAGTCTAGGACTTTGCATAGATCTTGCACATGATCCCAGACAAATCGTCTAATCTCAGGCATCACTTCCTGCTCGTTCTTCTCCTTTGGCCCTTTCACAGCCAGATCATCGATGTAAGGTTGTGTAATGTGAGGACTTACTGGTTGCATTGCCCTCACCATGTGTCTCTGGAGCATGGCAACCGCGTTCGTCCACCCTTGCGGTGCGGCATTCATGTGAATCAGCCCTCGAGGGGTATGCATTGCAGTCATTGTTTTGTCCGAAGGGTAAACAGGAAACTGGTCATAACCAGAATACAAGTCTATGAGAGATATTATGGATCTTCCTGCGCATGCCTCTAAAAGCGCATCAGCATTAGGGAGACCCCCTGCATCTCTCACTGTTACAGCATTCAAGCGCTGCAAATCCTCTAACCATCGCAGCGTCCCATTTGGTTTGACAAAGCAGAACCAAGGGGATGCATATAGCCTACTCGAGTAGTCTGAGACATGAGTGCGGATTTTCCCGTAAGAATAATTTACCACCTTTTCTTCATCAGCCGGGTTCGGATATCGCGCACTTCGCAGATTTCATGGTTCATGTGGCATGGTATGTATCTGAATTATCGGGATCTTGTCAACATCCAGGCAGCCACGTTCGTCATCGTTGAAGGCATAGACATTATGTCTTCCTCTCATGGTCTCTACCATCAACTTTCTCTCCTGCGCTGTAAGGAAGTCTGGTTCCCCTATTATCAGCGCCTCTTATGTTTCTTGATTGATACGGCATGGTCCGTTCTCCGCATTTTTTTGCATCTGCCGTATTAACTCTCGTTCCTGCTCGTAATAAACTTCTTGTTCCTCAGTCACGAGCACAGGAACAGGGCGGCATTTTTTATCTACTCTTTTGTACCGCCTTTGTGACCCTCGCTTGAACCCACCCCTAAAAAAGGCCGAGTTGAACTCAGGGGTTGGGCTCCTGCCGATCCTCCTCTCTTTCCGGGCGTCCGATATACCAGCTCCACCTCTCCTTCACCCATTTGTTCCATCACCTTTTCTCTCAAGGCCTCTACAGCCTCCGGGACCGTCATCCCATAGGTTGACACTATGTCCATAGTATCGCCTATATTGGTCAGGTTAAGAGTCAGTGCTTCCGGATTCCTTTCTTCTTCAAACTCGTCTCCTCCTAGCCTCTTCCTTTCTTCTTCCGATTCCTCAATCGTGAAAGAGTCAAGATTGGGACGATTTCTTATACTTCGTGGCCCCGTATTTCTGCGTGTGATAACCTCATAGTTGCCACATATCGGGTCACATAAGACAAGGAACATCGTCCCATCATGCTTATTCAGTATGACGGTCTCCGTTCGGCTCAGAAAAGATCGGCCCAATAGGATGGGATGATCGAGATCGGTCATTACAAAGAAACAACTTCTCACTTTAACCTTGCCAATCTCCAGAACCACTCTCGATGCGGTCGCTATGAACACAGACCGACTATTCACTCCCATTAGAACTCCATTATCGGAGCGATCAATCTCCATCCCCAAACGCAAGGCATGTTCCTCTTTTATAAGGTTCATTTCCGCCGCAGTATCCACCATTGTCGTGCACGTTTTTCCTTTTACTACTACGTCCACGTATCTACATGCGATGGACTCCCAATCCATCTTCGTGCCTGTCTCCGCCCACTCAGCTTCCTTGGGGATTATGACCCCCAATCGCACGCTGGCTACCATCTTTCTGGACAATCGAGCTTTGAGCTCATCCCGGAGCCTTGGAGCTGAAGCCAACACATCCTTCAGGTTCATAAAATGATTATGACCCTCAAGGAGTCTATCCATCATTTCCTCTACATCATAGCCTTCTTCTACCCGGACAACATACTTCCTTTTCTTCCCCTCCGGGACTCTGTCTGCGTCCGCCTTAACATCCCTCTTCTTTGCTCTTAGCTCGACCCTCTTATCCTCTTCTCTCCTTAACCTCTCATCTCTCTCATCCTCATTCTCTGGGATGTCTACTGTCTGTTTTTCCCTACTAGGCTTAGGAACGTCCTTTGCCGGCTCATTGGGGCTTACCGGCCCCTTGGCCCTTGTCCTGACGACCTGTGGCGCTCCTCCTGACCTTGATGGTGGCCTGTGAGCCAATCCGGACCGAGGCGTTGGTCCCGAAATCGTTACGCCTGGTAGGCTCCCAGATCCTCCTTGCGGTCCTGGACCCATATCGTAGAGATACACCAGTGGCTTTTTACCCTTCCACTCCTTGACCTCTTCACACATGTTGGTCAATTTGTCTTGATACCTTCCTAATTTTGCCACTAGATCCTCCATCCTTTCCATCGTTCTCCGGGCATCATTCCAGTAACCCTTTTTTATCTCCTCGTCAGTTTCTACCGCAATTGGTTCTTCCTTGACGGTACCGACTTTCCTTTCCTGCTCTACTTCCTCATTCTCTCCTATCTCTTCAACCCTTACATCAGGACGGACCTCCTCCTCTTGCCAGATTCGAAACATGGCCGGAGGAGCGGGTGGCTCGCCGGCCTCGACCCGTCTCAAGGCCTCCTTTCTCGACCCACCAGGGATCTCTGGGTCAATGTAGTATCCAAACTTATCATACATGTCACCGTCGTAATTTTTACTAATCAACCCTTCATCTTCATCGTTCTTTCGGACATGGCAGAACTTGATGGTGTGACCCTTTTGCCCACAATGTCAGCAAATGACATTCCTCCAGTCTATCCGTCCTCTACCAAAACCTCGCCCGCCGTCCTGACTACTCTGACTCCGTGACGCATTCCAATCTCCATTTCCTCTTCCACTGGAATTGCCACCCCCATTTCCTCTTCCATTTTCCCCGCGGCCGCCATTTCCTCACCCTCGGCCCCATCCTTGGTTCTGTCGACGTTCGCCGCCTTGATTTCCCTGCAACCCCTGTGGTGCCGGCTGTTGAGGTTGGCTTGGCTGGGGGCTCGGTTGGCTTACTTGTTGAGTCTGGGGTCCTGGACACCCGCAGGAAGCCGCGCTCAGTAGCGCTCCCATGCATGATCCATGTGGTCCACTCATCGGCCATGGTACGTATGAACAATGCCCAGGCCAAGGACTGGGCCAGGCCAAGGACTGGGAGGTCCATAACCCATCCACGACCCATAGGGCGCTGGCGCGGCCTGACCATGCGACTCCGGGGGAGGCAGTGCTGTTGCTTGCGGGGTCTGTCCTCTTCTTGAGCCTTGTCCGCCTTGGGCCAGATTTTTGGCCTTCCTCTGTGCCTTTGTTAGCTTTTGAGGCTCAGGCTCCTCCTCTTCCTCTTCTTCCTCCTCTTGCACGACCGCCTTCTTTGCCTTTCCATGAGTCTGCGGTGCCGCCATAGCCTTTCTTGTTGCCCTTGCCTCTTTTTCTGCATCGAGCTGGGCAACCGCATCCTCTACCATTCTCTTAAAATCTCTCCCGTCACTTGTCGAGGCATCCAAAGCCTTCCTCTTCTTCCTAGCCTGTCGCATCTGAAAGATGTCGACCTGGTCCAATTCTCCTTCTATCACGCCCTCCTTTATGGCAGCCCAGGTGATCTTCTTTCCTGGCGCAGCCTTCTTGGTTAGCGACGAGGCCTCCCAATTCTTGAAGTGCCCCAGGAAAGTGGCACACTGTTCTTCTTCCGCCAACCCGGGGACTTTTTTTGCCATCTTCTCGAAAGTCGTCGCGAAAGCTCCCACCGTGGAGAACTTATCTCGTTGTAACATTTCCAAGTTTGTCTTTGTTAACAAGCCATCCCCTAACTTGAACCGCCTCTGCATTTCTGCCTTGAACTTAGCCCAGTCCTCCCCCGCTTCAGCAGCTACTTTCATTACTTCGGCCGGGTTTCCCACCAGATATATCGAGGTAGGAACTTAAACTTATCTACCTCAGGTACCTCGGCTGTAACGTGTTCCAGGAGCTCCAGCCATTTCGACACCCTCTCCCCATCAAAATGGAAGATGTCGATTTTTGACACTTGTAGCCGTGCCAACTCCCTTTTCTCGAGTGCCTTGACAAAATCTTCTGGTGTAGCCGCCGGGCCCGGCTCGATTCCATCAGCGTCCGGCATCTTCACCCCTTTTCGCTAACCAAAGGATAGATCGGTAAGCAACTTGCCAAAGCTCAAAGGACTCGCCCTAGGTCACGCCAGGCCAATCCACCTCTAAGTTTAGCTATCCATCCTGCCCTTAGTCATTCAAAGCTCAAGATACCACCGTTAGTCGGACCCTATATCACTTAATCTTATTATATCCTTATATACAATCTCTTTATGTAAGACAATCCAACCTATAAGCTTTTGTCGTTTTGCCTAGATCTTCAGCCTGCACCTAACCTGAGTTCGTTCTCTTGAGGACCCCGGTAGGCAGCCGAGATCCCCGGCAACGACGCCACCTGTCGAGCGCATAGGTCCCGCAAGGGGACCCTCCCGGCCGCGTCACACAGGATTTTGCAAAACTTTGACGCAGAGCGTTTTGGCCGCTTCGGCTGAGTGCGCCAACCGTACCTCTCGCGAGCCCCTACGACAGGACAGGGTCACGCGAGGCACCGCTTACCTCCACCTGCGGGAGCTGTCACCATCCCTTAGGTGGGCATATCCCCGCCGAGCTACTGAACCACATGCGAAAGCTTTTCGTATACAATTGCAGAGGTGACCCAGTCGAGGACGTTTCTCGTTCGCTGTAGCAAAGGGGGTTACGCGCGGTCGAACGCCCAAGAAATCGAACCCGCACACGAATCGACGTTCTGGGAGGCAAAGGTCCCAAACACGACTCGGCGCCGATCGACTAGGACGCATCACGCACACTACGTGTACACCACAACACTCACATCTACCCACACATAACACGTGGAAATACACAAAACAGACATCATGAACGACGCCACAACACCACAATACTCCTAGTCCCTTCAGTATCCGACCCATAATTTTGTGCCGCGAGACTCAGATAGGTATCGCGTGCTGGATTTTTGTATAAGAGTTGTGCGGGCGCATGGCCTCCTCATATCACCCAGCCATGCGGGCATACGCAAGCATTCGTGCTGATGGGGTACTATGTGGTATTCGTAGCCCTGCGACCCTTAATAATCTCAAGGGTCACGTTCGACACTCAAGTGTCGGCTGACAGGCGCTTTGAGGGGTAATCTCTCAACCCCAGATAACCGCCATGTGCAGTTGAAGACCACACCATCTTCTGCACCCTGTGCAGAGGGGTTGAGTAGACAGCTTTGGGGCTGTCGTGGAAGCCAGAATCAAGGGGTTTGACTTTGACGGCTACCACGGACTACAACGTCCAACCATGAAGGCTTTTAAGGAGGAAACAACTGCAGATAGTCTGATGGTCGTTCCAAAAGGGAGGGGTAGGCCAATACGAAAGATGCGTGCGGATGATGCCCAGACTCAGACCCACGGACATCCCGACGTTTGAGACCTTTGGAGGCTCGTACACGGGTCCCCTTAGGCCGACTAGGCTTATTCCTTGCCTCCCGCGTCGTTTCGCACTGCCGAAAATTGGGTTTACTGGCCGTGACGCGCTCATAACCTTCGAGCGCAGAAATTGGTAAGTGTCGCGCGCATGGGTTAACATAAATCCACGCGGAGGCAAAACCTACGCATACCGTGATGTCGGTTTTGCGGGTTAACATAAATCCGCGCGCATGGGTTAACATAAATCCGCGCGGAGGCAAAACCTACGCAGAAATTGGTAAGTGTCGATGCGGGTTTGCGTAAGCAATCGTGATGTCGGTGCATTATGTGACGCCCATACCCGAGTGGCCTCTTTTGAGTCATTGGGTCGCTCTTGCCGCTTAGGCCTCGGCTGAAATGCGCGCTAAGGGGGGTAAACCTTTAGCAAGCGCAAGACCAGCCTGAGGGCCTTACCATCTTCTGCTCCATGAGGTGCCCCAAAGGGTGCGGGGTAAGATGGTCCCTAGGGAAGGAAGGAATTCAGAGCGGTGGTGAGTTGTCTGGCGCATCACCAGCGACACGCTAATCCTTCCGCCCGTAATTTTATCGTTCCACCAAAATAACCTCAACAAGGACGAAAAACAAATGCTCTTAACACTATCGGAAGAAAAATACCTTTAATGTTAGTCTGGGGCGTGAGACGTCCCGGACAAGGATCTTGGTTTCCAGGCTTGGGACAAC